GGGGGGAGGAAGAGGATTCGTCGTTCGCGGCGCGGCGGGGGCGAGGGAAGCAGCAACTGCAGCAGCCGGGGGCTGCGTGGTCCTTAGCACGCGGGGGATCGAAGCCGTAAAGAGCAATCCGACGGAAGAGGCAACCTGTACCGACATAGACGGGGCCCTGCAAGCCGTCGAGCGCGCGCATGTTGACATCGAAGAACACCGTGTTGTGGTTAGCGTAGCGATCGGAGGGATCAATACCCTCGAATCGCTGAGGGAACTGTACGTAGCAGATGCGGTCACCGCCGCGGTCCATCATGAAGCACATCCCCTCGCGCAGAGCCTGTGAGTTGTATATGTAGTGATCGCAGTCCAGGTTAAGTATGAAAGGTCCGTTCGACATGATAGCCGAGGCGCGAACCAGAGCGTTCATGGCACCTGCCTTCTTGTTGTGGTCGTAACCTGGCCTCTTTTCGCGGGAAACGTAGACCAGCATTGGCAGCCGTATGTCCACCTCCGTAAGGTCGAGTGCCGAAAACCGGATTCTCAGCAGGAGGCCTAAGCATCACCTGTATGATTCCGGCATGATCGCCACGAGAGTGGTCGGTTGCAGATTGGGTCCAGGTGCCAGGCCAATGGGTGCCATCGGCCATCCAAGTAGCCTTGGGGATCTTGACCATCGGCTCGTCGGTGTTCTCGCGGTGGAGGCGGGCAGCGTTTAGCTCCTCGCGAGCGTGGAAAGCGTCAGAGCGGCGGCGGATGGAGTCGGGAAGTCCATTGATGCGGACCTTGAACTCGTCGTACTCGCGCTTCACGCGACGGCGGTCGCGAACGAAGTCTGTGCGGACTTTGTTCTTGTAAGGATCGCGCTTGAGAGCGAAGTAACTCTCGGGGTTACGGGGTTCGATGCGGTGCTTGCGGCAGAAAGGAACCCAGACAGAGGCGAATGAGGCAGCCTCGGCCATGGCTTCAAAGGTGAGGAGGGCGCCGCCATCATCAGAGACGTAGCAAGCGAGCTTCTCTACTGGGTATTCGGCAGCGAGGATGGAAAGGATGGTGTTTGCGGTGACGAGGGGTGGCTCCTTCTCAGGGTCGGCAGTGGAGACGAAGATGTCCACTCCAGGGAGGTCGGACTTTCCAGTTGGATTGGTAGGGGTGGGTGTCTCGAACTTATCCTTGAGGACGGAGAGGTCGGTGGCGCGGTTGACAGGGGAGAGCTTGGGGAGTTGGTCGAGAAGCCATGAGAAGGCGAACCAGAGCTCGCATACAACGGACATACCCCACAGCCAGATGGCATCGGGGTTTTTGTGCTTGATTCTCCAAGCCAGGAACAGACCAAGCACCACCATGCGGATGAAGATTAGCAGCCTGCATTTATAAACATGGAGATTAGAACGATATATACATGAAATTACTCGCTTGCAACTATCAGTACATGGTTTTGTATAACAGGAAAGCATAAATGAATCACAATACAATGCTGAAGACATTTAAGGCATAATCAGCATGCAGAGGTTAGTGTTTGATTGCAGACAACAAGATAATTAAAAGGCTTAATCAGCAGTGACAGAGTTCATTATCCTAGGATAAAAATACTTATGGTTATCATACAAAAGTAAAATATTTTATATTTATGAACAAAAGCTTTTCCATGTGGATCATTTTTGCTGCAAACCTCTTGTAAAAATGAATGGGTTTTTTCTTCACAACTATGTCAGTTTTAATGGTGTAAATTTGCAAATTAGCATGGAGGACAAGTGCAAAAGTTTTTTCAGTAAAAGGAAGTTTTATTAGTGTAAAATAAAAAAAAATAAAAAAAAAATAAAAAAAAAACATTTATGTTGCCCTACTATTTTACTCTTCCCAATACACGTTTATGTTGCCCTACTATTTTACTCTTCCCAATACATAATCCTTCTTGGTTTATGTTAATTTAAAAGAATATTTCATTTAACTTTAAAATTTTGCCTGATGCTTCAAGCAATATGAAAATTACATGAAAATTATCAAAAGATAAATCTATCTTAATCAATAAAATTGGGTTAATTCTAATATAAGAAGTTTACACAAAATTAATCATAAAATTCATGATGAAAATGTATTTGATTTTTTTTTTAATAACCAATGAATGAATTATAATGTGTTGAAAGTTTATAAAACAGTTAATAGTGTTTTTAACATGATAATTTAATAGAACATAATAATTCAATAGAAGCAAATCTACTAATAACTTTAAATCCCTTAAAATCTTTATTATAATATTAAAAAGTAGAAACACATTCAAATTATATTAAAAAAGTAAATGCATAGGAATTGAGTGGTATGCATGTAAATCTTCCTCACAAAAAACTATCAATATAATCCCAGGAAAACATGTTTTTAATATTTCTACGGCCAACCAATATCTCACCAACGCCACACCGTCAAGACAACACTTCCCTATTCAATATTGGCTAATAATCCTTAATGCCAAAAATTAATTCCCTCGAATGAGCTCACAGAATCATAACTCGGACAGACCTCATCACGATGTACAAACAAATCAGACAAAGTTTAGGAAGATCTACATACACATCACTTAATTCCTTCGTATTTTCATATCTAGCACCTAAACTTTCATTTTTACATTACATGAGCATGAAAAAGGTGTATTACACTATAAAAAAGTTAAAATAGGTCAATTTTATGTGCTATGTAAGATCTGGGTGGTAAAAATGTAAAAAAAAAAAAAATTGAGATGTTAGATATGTAAATACATAGGAATTGGTGCTATGTTTGTAAATGGTGAAAGCGAACTCAAGAACAGGGCTCAGAACGTTTACCTTTAATTTTGTTTAAAATATTATGTTGGCAAGCTTTCATATATTTTATTTTAATTTTATGTGGCTTTTCCATCCCAATCATGAATGCCCAATTCTCCTCATTTCTCATCAATTCCGGCTTAATTAACTGAAAATTTGATAAACATGCACGCAAGAGCCAAACAAAAAGTCTTCAGCTTTTGTCATTTGGTTTCGCATTCTTCTTCAAACAAGATAAATCAAGCTAAAAATTACTCTCAATTCAAACAAAGTAATTAAAAACATCAATGGCAGATTGACATCAATAAAACAGAGCAAGAACGGAATAATCTCACCTGTAAGGACTAAGAATGGCCGCCGGAATCTTCAACTTTCTAGTCAGCGGCCTCCACGGCTTGCTCACAAAATCTTTAGGATGCCCCTCATCGCCGCCACCTCCGTGACCTCCGACATCTTCCTCCGGCCAAATCGCGTTCCCATACCCGTAAGTTCCCTTCGTCTCGAACAACCACCGGTTGTGCTCAAATTCACTAGTCCCACCCCCTTTCATAGATCTCATCATCGACAGCCTCCTCTCCATCCTCGCTCCGGCTTTCGAAGCCGATATCCTCGGCACCGTGATCGCCTTCCTCTCCTTGGCGATCCTTGATACATCCTCCACATCAGTGGCTTTGTATTGCTCCTTACAACCGGGACACTGCCTACCCCCGTTCTTCAACGCGTCTTCGAAGCAATCCCGGCAGATCTTGAACTCGCACTCGCAAGGGAGCATCTCCTCCCCGCGCTCGTCGCACATTACCTTCCCATCGCAACCCTCCACGGCGCAAGTCGACGCCTCGGTGGCAGCCGACCGACTCTGGTTGGAATCGGTAACCTTGTCCATCATATGGGCGCGTGTGACGCTGTTAAACCCGCCGGTGAACAGAGAACTAGAGACGTAGTGTTCCTCTGCTTTTGCAGAGACGTAAGAGTCAACGGGGACGACCTCCATGGGCTGGTTGTCCGGCGTCATCGGAAACTGTACGTGATAGTTGTTGAAGTCCACACTGCCCAGTTCGCTCTCAAGGTCCTCGCGCGAGTAACTGATGTACCTCCCGGAGGGGGTTCGTCGCCCAAAAGCCACCTTTGGCTGCGAAGCAGCCGTTGGTACTGTTGGAGGCTTCCCCTGGTTTTGTTCCGGATACATCATCCTCGCAGAGGTAATCAAAACGCCAACTTCGTCTTCAAATCTGAACAATTACTGTGGTCAAAGAGAGACTTGTAAAGGTTGGGGCAATTAAGGAAAAAAAAAAGAGGAAACTTTTCCAATAATGGATTCTTACCTTAAAAGAAAGCAGGGGAGGAGGTGAGATGTAGGAGGATCCGATGGAGCATTGCGCTGGGAATCAGTGCAGTAGAAGGGCCAAATCAGTTGAGGCGGGGGTTATATGGAAGACGACGCTTCCCCGCTTCACCAGAAAGCACTCAAAACACGAGTAGAAAGAGAGAGTTGGTGGACAACTGTAGACGTGTGGGATCAGACCTAGTCCAACAGTAAGTAGTCGAAGACTGCGGGTGTAAACGTGTTGGATCAGACCCAGTCCAACAGCAAGTAATCCAAGGCAGCGGATCTCACCTCAAAATGTATTTTTATTGAACGAGGAAAAAATCTGAAGAAACATTGTAAGAAGAGAAAATGCTTCTAAAAATGGAGAACGAGAAGACAGTTTTGGTCTCCGGCGATTCAAGCAGCAGCCCGGCAGTAAAGTTTAAAAAATGTGGGGTCAAGTTAGGGTTAGGGTTTGAAGAGAAAAAATAAAGTAGATAGTGGGAAGAAACGGGGTTGGAGATGAAGACGTGAGAGAGTGAGGAACAAAGAACAGTAAAAAGCAAGGTTTTTAGTGTTTGTTTGCCGCTCGCAGGACAGGGAGGAAGAAGTGAGAGAGGAAGAAGTGGGGGAGGCAAGGCTTTTAGTGTTTGTTTGCCGCTCGCCGGAGGGTTTAAGACTTCAGGGAGGAAGAAGTGAGAGAGGAAGAAGTGGGGGAGAATGAACTTTCATACGAGCTGTTTTGCGCGTGGAAAGGATTCACCACCTGGATCGTGGATCCAATGAACCCACATGGCATGGCAGCATGGCTGACATGGAGGGGCAATTAGCTGGAGCCGGGCTGGCCGTACCGCGGCATTCACCCAACGCAGCCCGGGCCTGCCACTCCGATGCGTCACGGATTTCTCCGTTCACATTCATGTGCGCTAAATTACTCCTTTAACAATAACTACTAGTGATTACCATTCAAATAAATACATACAACTATAACTATTAGGGTTAACTTTGTTAAATATTTCAATCAAATTTAAAAGGATGTAATTTTTATTTGAGAAAATTCTATTGGTCCATCTAAGTAGATAATGAATTATCCTTTATATTATGTTAAATAGGTTTCACTAAATCTTCACTTTCATGGAAACGAACTCTAGAGTGACAGCACTAAGAAAATCTTAAGTCAGTCTCATATTTGAATTTACTAAATCCGGATTTACTTCCTAAAATAGAAGAAACTTGGGAAGAAACATCGAAACCCAACAATTTTCGATTTAACGAAGCGTTATATTTTATTTTAATTTTTTTTTTATGCTTGGTTATATTTAAGCTAAATTCATAACTAATGCTACCAAAATTTTTTTTTTATGCTTGGCTATATTTAAGCTAAATTCATAACTAATGCTACCAAACACCCCCTAAGACATTGATTTTTCATTGCATTTTAGTTGATTTTAATAATTATGAATATATTATCAAAAATTTTCTTATTATAAAACAATCAACTACATTTTTTTTAAAGAACCTATCATATATAAGTGAGTCCAACTCTATATAGCTTTACTATAGCGGCCACAGATCAAATTCATAGTGAGCTCACAAGAGTCATCCAAGCAAGTATGCACACCGCTAAGGTCGATTGAATGACGCTACCACCTCTATAATAACTCCATAGAAGTATTCTATATCCAACACCTCACTAGTCAAAACTTTTCTAAATTCTCAAAGTTACTGACAACAAAATAATGTAAATTTCTCAAAAAGTCCAAATAAAATCTCCAAATTATTTCATTTTATTTCACATAAAAATGATCCCAGTTTGGAAACCAACATATGCATTCATTATAATTGATAGCATATACTAGCAAATCTTTCTTTATTGGTATTATTTCATTAGGTAATTTCATGAAATTTATTCAATGTGTTGTATGTAATCTTCTGTAAGAAGCTCTGACTTCACAACCAATTATAAAGAGTTCTAAAGGCAAGCTTAGAGACAAAAACTTATTTTATCATATCTCTTGCTTTATAGAAATAAATTTTAGAGCTTTCTTGACTATAACACCTTCCTCTAATATATTTATTATCAATATGGTTGTGATGATGTCCACAATAAAAGGGGATCATTAAGAAAATAAAAGGTTGTTTTGTGCATTGTTAAATGGTTAATAGTTTTATAAATATATAAAATTTGGGAGTTATATAAGAACTTTCCCCTTTAGTTAATATTTATCATTTGATGCTATTTTCAAGTTGAAGTGAACATTGTTAGATCCTAATATGCTTATGGATATATCACATAGGAAAAAGGTGTGTGCAAAGGGAATGACTATAGAAATATATAAAGCAAAGGGGGAAGAGTACAATGTCTCTATGATTTATTGTTCAGAAATAAATTATTATTGAGAACTTTGTTCTACCAAAGAAGTTTTATCAGAAGAGATTGTTGGGTTTTTTTTTTTTTTTTGTATTTGAAATATGAATGGTTTTGAAAATAAAACCGAACAGATCTCAAATATTTAGTTGTTTAAAAAATCAAACATGACATTATAAGTAATTTGTCATCTCAAAAGATGAGAATATTACTTAATAATAGTTTCAATTATTCAAACTAAGAAATTTAGGATATTTGTTTGGTTTGCAAAAAATACCAGCAGGTCTTTCTCCTATCAAATATGAAGATTAGATAGAGTTTAGAATACCTTGATTATTAATTTAGTGTAGCTGTGGGCCCATATAATTAATTATATCTTAAGTAACTGAAATCACTTAAGAAAATTCTTGATTAAGATTGGGGTTATGTCTTCAAGAATTTAGAGTTTAGTTTCTACAATATATTGTAGGAGAATCAACTGGGAAAGACTTAATGCAGAACAATTATTTATGGAACCCAAATGAATGAAAAAGTAGAGGATATCAAAGATACTGAGAAAATCTTAATGACATCTCACTTATCCTATGGTTTGGCATTACATTTTTTTAAAGAGAAGTTAGTTGATGTTTTAATCATACAATTTATTTAGAAATTTAGAACTTATATTACACGACATACAATCATGCAAAAGCTTAAGAAGGTGTAAGGATTTACGTCATACCAAACAAACAATCTCAGAATCTTAAAAGGTAAGGACCTATATTAATCAACACCATTTGAAACAAAATTGAGGGTTTAATTAATGTTCATCCTTCACTTGGTGTTTTATCTTCTTCTAGATATCTCAGAGGTTAATAGTTGATTAGCTACAACACCATCTAACAATATTATGAAACTAACTAAAGAAAAGAAGAAATCCATATCTTGAAAGGTCTGTCCTAAGTTCTTATTATTTACTTATAGTAGTCCTGCAAAACAAATTTTGGTTAGTGTTCATTATTATAGAAATGAAGATAGAAATGATTAATGAGAGCTAATTTTATTTTTTTATATATAAAACAGGTCAAGATCACATGATTCCGTCATCATGGTACTACTATTAGTTTTGGAATTACTTATTCTAAAGAAGTAGTTAAGATTGCTTAGACCGGGAGACTTTAATAAGCAATCTTGGGTTACGTTGTCTAAAAAGTCTTAGTAAGCCCAAAGCATTAATTATTATTGTTTTGTTGTTTTTTAATAATAATAATAATAATAATAATAATAATAATAATAATAATAATAATAATAATAATAATAATAATAATAATAATAATATTATTATTATTATTATTATTATTATTATTATTATTATATATTTAAATTAAACCTATTTATATGCTTTTTGAAGACATACATCAAGGTTTCATGTTATTAGAATTTATAAGATCCAATAAATCACTTAAGAAAGTGAACAAGGATCTTATAAACTCAATTATTATATATATTTAAAAAATTTTGGTTGTTTTGTGAATTTTAATGAATTATTTTGTTGAAAGTTTTGTACTTTCTTAGGTTTTTAAATATTTTGATTCAAATGACTCCAAAATGATGTGAAATTATTATTTCTAGAAATTTATATTGGACTCATAGAGTTTCTGAAAAATTTTTGTGAATTTTTTAATTTTGTTTAATTTATTATAATTATTTTAAATTTTTAAGTTATTTTTATTCAAAAATTCACAATAAATCAAAATGACTACAAAATACTTGAAATCTTACCAAGTTGTTTAGAATAGGATTTCAAACAACCTCAAAATTTCTTAAGCTATTTAAAATTCATTTTAAATTTCTATGAATTATTGAATTTATTAATGAATTTGTTAATGAAAAATTATTAAGCTGAAATGATTTTTTATATTTTTTAAGTTTCTCTTAGTCCAATTCACTTATGGGTGAAGATCTCATTTAATTTGGAGTTCCATAGAAAAAGTTTTTCAACTTTTCATGAAAAAGGATATATTTGTAAATACCTTATTTATACTTTAACCACTTCTATTGAGGTTGGAAATATTTTTTAAAGGCTTGTCTTTATCTGGATAAAAATTTGGTTCAATTATTTACATCTCATTGCCTCTATTTCTTCCAGTTAGTGAGTGAAAAGGTAATAGAGGTACTTCTGCAAATTCAAAGGGACTTACAAATCTACCCTAAAACTAGTTTTAAACTTACAAATCTTTCCGGTGTTTTGTCATTTTTGCTCCATTTAACAATTTCATTTTGAGTTGTAATGGTTCACTTTGAAGTTCTCAAAGCAATAAGAGTAATTTTTGTAACTTCTAAGAAAATGACCAAACTACCCTAAATCACTTTTGAAACTATCAAATTTTACTATAATTCTACTGATTATTGTATTAATCACTCTTTAGGTTTAGATTATTCCATTTTTAGCATGTATTGATTTCATTTTATGAATTAAATGTAAAGAAAGCTAGTTATGAAATTTTGAGAAACTATACTTTCACCTAGCTTTATATCTATACTTAAGCTTCTTAATTAATTTCTCATTCTTATAATTTTTTAATTTTAATAATTGTATCAAATTAGATTTTATTTTGGTGAATTAAAAGTAAAGAAATGTTATATTTGTAATTTTAGGAGAAATAACAAATTTACTAATTCTAACTTTCAAAATTAAGCTTATTTTTCTGAAGTTTACTTATAAATAAACTTCAAAATGATTTCAATATGATTCTTTAACTTTGTGCTTCGTATTTGTTCATTTTGATCGATAAGGGTCTTCTAGTAATTTTGCTCTTTTTTTTGTCAATTTTCATTAATTTCCATTCAAATTCTCATATAAATTCATCCAAATTTTGATAGAATGTTCCAATCAATAACTTATATACTCCCAAATAACATTATATTGTTAGCGCTGGAGCCCGATAGGAACAACTCCAGCTCGTTCGCTTCCCACTTTCGTCTCCCTGTTGTCGATCGTGATTCGTCGCGACCGCTCCCTCTCTTCTGATCGCAGGAGTCGCGTCCCAGCTCCCGCCATTCTCGCTTTCCCTGTTTCGCGAAACGACGCCACCTCCCGTTTTCTTTAAGTTGGGAATAGAAGAGAAAAAAGTTTCAAAGTCACGGTGTTGTTCTTCAGGCTTCCTCGGGATAGAAGGAAGGAAAGTTATTATACTGTTAGAGCTGGAGCCCGATAGGAACAACTCTCGCTCGTTCGCTTTCCGCTTCCGCCTCCCTGTTGCCGATCGC